GGCCAGAATGGTGAGAGGCTGAGAGAGTAGAGAGTAGAGCGGGGAGAGTACAACAGAGACCGTGAGAGAGGGGGAGAGGTAGGGAGAGTGGGCCAGAGTGTGAGAGAGTAGAGAGAGGGGGAGGAGAGTACAACAGAGACCGTGAGAGAGGGGGAGAGGTAGGGAGAGTGGGCCAGAGTGTGAGAGAGTAGAGAGAGAGGGGGAGGAGAGTACAACAGAGACCGTGAGAGAGGGAAGAGGTAGGGAGAGTTGCCAGAGGGTGAGAGGGTGAGAGAGAGAGTAGAGAGAGGGGTACAACGGAGAGAGTGAGAGAGGGGAGAGGTAGGGAGAGTTGCCAGAGCGTGAGAGAGCGTAGAGAGAGAGGGGGAGTGTACAACGGAGACCGTGAGAGAGGGGAGAGGTAGGGAGAGTGGGCCACAGGCTGAGAGAGTAGAGAGAGAGGGGGGGAGGGTACAACGGAGAGAGGGGAGAGTTGCCAGAGGGTGAGAGGGTGAGAGAGAGAGTAGAGAGAGGGGTACAACGGAGAGAGTGAGAGAGGGGAGAGGTAGGGAGAGTGGGCCAGAGTGTGAGAGAGCGTAGAGAGATAGGGGGGGTGTACTACGGGGAGAGTGAGAGGAGAGCAAAGGAGAGAGAGAGAGAGTTTTAATAATGATTTACGAATCTAATAAACTATTTTAATCTTGTACTCTTAGTTTGTTCGGTAAAGTCACGTAGGTAAAAAATGAAATTAAAATTTATAAAAGTAATGATAGAAATAAAATATCAAAATCACGACGTTTCGGAGGCAACACAAGTCTCCGTCATCAGGTGGGACTGTCACAGCTGAATTAACTGGATTCAACTTCTTGGTTCTTTCGGTAAAGTCATCACGTAGAAGGGAAATAATAAAATCATAAAAATAAAACGTGATAAAATACAATTCTCACGACGTTTCGGCCACAACGCAAGCAGCCGTCCTCAGGTGAAGACCAGGTCTGTCGTGAAGACAGCGTCTGAATGAGTCTTTCCGACAGACCTGCTCTTCACCTGAGGACGGCTGCTTGTGTTGTGGCCGAAACGTCGTGAGAATTATTTTATTATGTTTTATTTTTATTTTATTATTTCCCTTCTTCGTGACTTTACCGAAAGAACCAAGAAGTACCTGTCAAAATAAGATGGTACAAATATGTGTAGTTAAATCTTGTTTTGCATGGTTAATAACATATTTCCAATGATTACTCAGTTTGTACCCATCATCACGGTTTGAGTTATGTCTGTGTTTGTATATCTGGATGGCCTCGTGTACAAACCTTTGATGGTAGCCAGGAGGTTTGCGTATATTTTGAAAGCGTGTACTGTACGCGCTACTCATATTGCAAGACCTCGCTCGTTTATCAAATTAATATTTATTTAAATTTGTTTGCTCTTCTTCAATTCGAGATGATGTTCTACTCTTTGGGTCTTTCGGTAAAGTCACGTAGAAAGAAAATAAATGAATTGTTCATTTTCTTTACCACATAGATTTTTTTTTTAAATAAACACATTCTCCTGCGGAGGGAGCTGGTAGGAACGTTGGGTTGCTCGGTCAATGGCCAGGGTGTCCCACCTGATGACGGAGACTTGTGTTGCCTGCGAAACGTCGTGATTAAATCCTTTATATTAAGTTCGCTTGCTTGCTTAGGACCGTGCAAATCTTTCGGTCGTTTTTTAACCCACTTCCTGTGATCCAATCGAGCTGACATTTTGCACACAGGCTCGTTGTGCGTGACAATTAATGTTCGTGAAAATTTGTTATCCAAAATTTTACCCTTTTTAGGACAAAAATATTATATTTAATTACCAATTGCTTAATGGTGCAATGCAATCATCTGACCCATAGGTGGCAGCCATCTCAAGCCAGAGGACGAGAGGACTCTAGCCGCCACGCATATAAAGGATTTCTAGTGAAAAACTTTGTTTTTACGGGTTTACTTGTTTTTTAATTTATTTCTATTATCACTTTCATTAATTTTAAATTCATTTTTTACCTACGTGACTTTACCCAAAAAACTAATAGTATGAATCCTTGCAGTCACGAAAGCTTCAAATCTATTTTTTATCTTACGAGCGGGGGTGTAAGGCCCCACGGCTGAGCAATGTGTCGAAAAAGCGGCGTGGCTATCGGTTAGTGATGGCTCAACACAGAAGTGGCTGATGCAGTCACGAGCACGTGGCAAAATCTAATCATCTGTCCGCGTTTACGATGCACGGAGACCCCGGGGAGACAAAACTCACCGATGTTTTATTTGACCAGGTTACGGGCCCACTGAGCTGGCTGCCACGAGTTATGCCTCAACCCAAGTGACTTTTGCCACGTGGGAATTTCTAGCAGCAAAGCGCGTGATGTCGATTCCGAACGTGGAGGGATAAACCAGAGGACCCGGAGACAAATCCGTGCGACCACGGAGAGAGAGAGAGAGGGAGACACGCAAACTCCAACTATACAGCAGCATGCATCAGGGTTGGGATCGAACCCATGACCTGCGTACCAGGCGAGGTAGTTAACATCTCATCAGGGTTGGGATCGAACCCACGACCTCCTGCGTACCAGGCGAGGGAGTTAACATCTCATCAGGGTCCGGATCGAACCCACAATCTCCTGCATACCAGGCGAGGTCGTCAACATCTTATCAGGGTCGGGATCGAACCCACGACCTCCTGTATACCAGGCGAGGTAGTTAACATCTCATCAGGGTTGGGATCGAACCCGCGACCTCCTGCGTACCAGGCGAGGTAGTTAACATCTCATCAGGGCCAGGATCGAACCCACGACCTCCTACATACCAGGCGAGGTAGTTAACATCTCGTCAGGGTTGGAATCGAACCCACGACCTCCTGCGTACCAGGCGAGGTAGTTAACATCTCGTCAGGGTCGGAATCGAACCCACGACCTCCTGTGTACCAGGTGAGGTAGTCAACATCTCATCAGGGTCGGGATCGAACCCACGACCTCCTGTGTACCAGGTGAGGTAGTCAACATCTCATCAGGGTCGGGATCGAACCCACGACCTCCTGCATACCAGGCGAGGTAGTTAACATCTCATCAGGGTCGGGATCGAACCCACGACCTCCTGTGTACCAGGTGAGGTAGTCAACATCTCATCAGGGTCGGGATCGAACCCACGACCTCCTGCGTACCAGGCGAGGTAGTTAACATCTCATCAGGGTCGGGATCGAACCCACGACCTCCTGCGTACCAGGAGAGGTAGTTGACATCTCATCAGTGTTGGGATCGAACCCACGACCTCCTACATACCAGGCGAGGTAGTTAACATCTCGTCAGGGTCGGGATCGAACCCAAGACCTCCTGCGTACCAGACATTCAGACGCTGTCTTCCCGACAGACCTGTTCTTCGCCTGAGGACGGCTGCTTGCGTTGTGGCCGAAACGTGAGAATTATTTTACAAAGTTTTATTTTTTTTATTTCATTATTTCCCTTCTACGTGATGACTTTACCGAAAGAACCAAGAAGATGAATCCCTGCAGTCACGAAAGCTTTGAATCGAAATTTAAAGGCACCGTATTTACCGGCTAATTCTTCCGAGCTACCTTTACCCTGTACCCTTTACCTTACACCTTGGCATGTCGACACCTTCACCTTTACCCTTTTACCCGGTGAAAAGGGTAAATTACCTTACCATGCCGAGGTCTAGTGCGTAGCCAGCCGGGCCGATAGGAACTGCCGGGATTTTATTGAAGAGTAATTTCTCTCTTGTTGTTGTTGTTGTTGTTGCTGTTGTTGTTGTCGCGTTTGCTCCGTTGTGCCCGCCCGCCCCGCACTTGCGATTAGCGCGCGGTGGGCTACTTCGCGCCGTGCGGAAGACGCTCCGTTTCGTACGCGGCCGGCGAGCAAATTGGGGGGTGGGGGTTGGGGAGGGTGTTGTTCACTCGGCGGTGAGGTTGATTGACGGAGATTTGGGTCGTAATTACTGGTGTCGTGTGTTGGCGTGTGTGTGCGTTGGTGTACGTTGATGTGTGCGAGTGTGTGTGTGTGTGTGTGTGCGCTAGTGTATGTTGATGTGTGCTAGTGTGTGTGTGCGAGTGTGTGTGTGTGTGCGCTAGTGTATGTTGATGTGTGCTAGTGTGTGTGTGTGCGAGTGTGCGTTAGTGTGTGTGTGCTAGTGTGTGTGTGCGAGTGTGCGTTAGTGTGTATGTCTGTGTGTGTTAGTGTGTGTGTGTGTGTGCGCGAGTGTGTGTGTGTGTGTGCTAGTGTGCGTTAGTGTGTATGTCTGTGTGCGTGTGTTGGTGTGTGTGCTAGTGTGCGTTAGTGTGCATGTTTGTGTGTGTTAGTGTGTGTGTGTGCTAGTGTGCGTTAGTGTGTATGTCTGTGTGCGTGTTGGTTTGTGTGCTAGTGTGCGTTAGTGTGTATATCTGTGTGTGTTAGTGTGTATGTCTGTGTGCGTGTTGGTTTGTGTGCTAGTGTGCGTTAGTGTGTATGTTTGTGTGTGTTAGTGTGTGTGTGTGCTAGTGTGCGTTAGTGTGTATATCTGTGTGTGTTAGTGTGTGTGTGTGCTAGTGTGCGTTAGTGTGTATGTCTGTGTGTGTGTTAGCGGGGAGGGGTAGTGCAGCGCTACGCTGCGCTACGAACCAGGCGACCCGAGTTCGATTTCCCGCTCACGGCCAACACCAGTGACGATTATCTGAACCGGTCCTGGGCCTCCCCTAGATCGACTCAGCCTGAAACGAGTACCCGGTGCGATGTGTAGCAAACATCGCCACTGGGGAGACATCGGACCACACAGCAGCAGTAGACTCACACAGAAACAGCTGCTCCATGACCTGTCGTGACCCCACCCCTTCTCCCACGCGACCCCCACGCGACCCCCACGCGACCCCCACGCGACCCCCACGCGACCCCCACGCGACCCCCACGCGACCCCCACGCGACCCCCACGCGACCCCCACGCGACCCCCAGCGACCCCCAGCGACCTCCCGCGACCGCCCTCTGACTGACCACGTGACCCGGCGTTTCTCCGCCCAGGCACCTGGATCGCAGCGGCGCCTACGACCCGTACCACGGCGCCGGCGGCGGCGCCGGCGGCACCAGCAGCAGCAGCCGGGGCGGCGGCGGCGCCGGCGGCGCCGGCTACGAGCTGGACTACTACCGGGAGAGCTCACGCCCAGGAAACTACTACGGTGCCGGCTCCCGCACCGGCGGGGGGGGGCAGCGCTACGACGGGGGGCCATCCGGCGGGGGAGCGCCGTTGCCCCCGGCGATGGGCGGCGGGGGGGGGCCGGCGCTGCCCCCCCCGCTGGCGCCGCCGCGCTACCGGGACGGTTACCGTGACGATGGCGGCGTCGGCGGCGGCGCGGCCGCGTCGTCATCGTCGTCTTCCGGTGGTGGCGGTGGCGGTGGTGGCGGCTCGAAGGAGAAGCTGGCGCTGGCGCGGAGCCGGCGCCGGAGGGAGCGAGGCTACCAGCACGGGCGCAGCCGCTCGCCGGCGCAGCAGCAGCAGCAGCACCAGCAGCAGCAGCAGCAGCAGCAGAGGCATCACCGGCATCACCACAGCAGGCACCGCCACCAGCACCACAATCATCACCACCACCACCCGCCGCGCCAGCAGCAACAGCAGCAGCAGCAACAGCAGCAGCAGAGGCACCGTCACCACCACCAGCAGCAGCAGCAGCGCCAGCAGCAGCCGCAGCAGCGGGTGGCACGGCTGTCACGCTCGCGCCACTCCACCACTCGCTCGTGTTCCTCATCCAGCGACAGCAACTCCAGCTCCACGTCCAGCTCGTCGGACAGGTGACGGGGGGGAGGGGGGGGGCTAGCGGGGGGGGGGGGGGTGTCTCGAGACTCGGGCAGAATGGGTCTCAGCGACTTCTGCTTAGTGACGACGGTGGTGGCGGTGGTGGTCCTGTTGTGGGTGGCGGTGGTGGTGGCGGTGGTGGCGGTGGTGGTGGTGGTCCTGTTGTGGGGGGCGATGGTGGTGGCGGTGGTGGTCCTGTTGTGGGGGGCGGTGGTGGTGGCGGTGATGGTGGCGATGGCGGTGGTGGCGGTGGTGAGGGTGGTGGTGGTGGTGGCGGTGGTGGTGATGGCGGCGGTGGTGGTGGTGGTGGCGATCAGCGTCTGGACGAGTCTCAGCGTCTGATGGCCTGAATCTAAGTTGTCTTGTTGTTGTGGTTGTTGTTGTTGACTTGCATCCCACTGGGATTTTTGCACACAGTGTTGGTGTGTAACGCTGCTTTTTCTGCAATATTTTGCCGTCTTTTCTTGGATTTTCTCTTTGCACAAAGTCACATGGTCACTTGAAGATGTTTTCTTGTTCACGTTTTAGTTTTTTGTTTGTTGCGGTTGCACCCGATTCAAGAGCCCAATGGCTCACAGGGCTACACCTAATACATGAACTTGAGATGAAATCAACTTGAACTAGAGGAGTCTCAGCATCTCAGAGTCTCAGCCAGAGATCGCAACCGGGTATCCGATACCCGTACCCTACCCGATACCCGACCGGGTACGGGTAGACCGTGAGTCACCGTTTGTCACTCATTTCCCAACGTCTTGTCTCTTCTCACAATTCAAGTTCCTAGAATCAACCCACCCGCGCCTGCAACATGGCTTCATCCCAGAGGTCGCAATCAGGTACCCGATACCCGTACCCTACCCGATACTCGGCCGGGTACGGGTAGCCGGATATCGGGTAGGGTACAGGTAGCCGTTTGCAACCCTGGTGCGGCCGGGTACGGGTAGGGTACGGGTAGGGTACGGGTAGGCCGTGAGTCACTGGTGAGTCGCCGTTTGTCACTCATTTCGAGTAGGGTACGGGTACGGGTAGGCCGTGAGTCACTGGTGAGTCACCGTTTGTCACTCATTTCGAGTAGGGTACGGGTACAGGTAGGCCGTGAGTCACTGGTGAGTCGCCGTTTGTCACTCATTTCGAGTAGGGTACGGGTACGGGTAGGCCGTGAGTCACTGGTGAGTCACCGTTTGTCACTCATTTCGAGTAGGGTACGGGTAGGCCGTGAGTCACTGGTGAGTCGCCGTTTGTCACTCATTTCGAGTAGGGTACGGGTACGGGTAGGCCGTGAGTCACTGGTGAGTCACCGTTTGTCACTCATTTCGAGTAGGGTACGGGTACGGGTAGGCCGTGAGTCACTGGTGAGGCACCGTTTGTCACTCATTTCGAGTAGGGTACGGGTAGGCCGTGAGTCACTGGTGAGTCACCGTTTGTCACTCATTTCGAGTAGGGTACGGGTACGGGTAGGCCGTGAGTCACTGGTGAGTCACCGTTTGTCACTCATTTCGAGTAGGGTACGGGTAGGCCGTGAGTCACTGGTGAGTCGCCGTTTGTCACTCATTTCGAGTAGGGTACGGGTAGGCCGTGAGTCACTGGTGAGTCACCGTTTGTCACTCATTTCGAGTAGGGTACGGGTAGGCCGTGAGTCACTGGTGAGTCACCGTTTGTCACTCATTTCGAGTAGGGTACGGGTACGGGTAGGCCGTGAGTCACTGGTGAGTCACCGTTTGTCACTCATTTCGAGTAGGGTACGGGTACGGGTAGGCCGTGAGTCACTGGTGAGTCACCGTTTGTCACTCATTTCGAGTAGGGTACGGGTACAGGTAGGCCGTGAGTCACTGGTGAGTCGCCGTTTGTCACTCATTTCGAGTAGGGTACGGGTAAAGGTAGGCCGTGAGTCACTGGTGAGTCACCGTTTGTCACTCATTTCGGGTAGGGTACGGGTACGGGTAGGCCGTGAGTCACTGGTGAGTCACCGTTTGTCACTCATTTCGAGTAGGGTACGGGTACGGGTAGGCCGTGAGTCACTGGTGAGTCACCGTTTGTCACTCATTTCGAGTAGGGTACGGGTACGGGTAGGCCGTGAGTCACTGGTGAGTCACCGTTTGTCACTCATTTCGAGTAGGGTACGGGTACGGGTAGGCCGTGAGTCACTGGTGAGTCACCGTTTGTCACTCATTTCGAGTAGGGTACGGGTAGGCCGTGAGTCACTGGTGAGTCGCCGTTTGTCACTCATTTCGAGTAGGGTACGGGTAGGCCGTGAGTCACTGGTGAGTCACCGTTTGTCACTCATTTCGAGTAGGGTACGGGTAGGCCGTGAGTCACTGGTGAGTCACCGTTTGTCACTCATTTCGAGTAGGGTACGGGTACGGGTAGGCCGTGAGTCACTGGTTAGTCACCGTTTGTCACTCATTTCGAGTAGGGTACGGGTACCCGTTTGCGACCCTGGTGCGGCCGGGTACGGGTAAGGAATCAAAACCCGTTTGCGACCTCTGCTCACAGGGCAAAACCTACTAAATGAACTCGAAATGAAATGAACTCGAACTAGAGGAGTCTCAGCGTCTCAGCCTGCAGAGTGTGTCGGAGTCTACAAGCGCGCTTGACTTACCCTACACCAGTGTAGCATGTCAGAGTGTCAGCCTGCAGTGTGTAGGAGTCTACAAGCGCGCTTGACTTACCCTTCACCAGTGTAGCATGTCAGAGTCTCAGCCTGCAGAGTGTAGGAGTCTACAGGCGCGCTTGACTTACCCTACACCAGTGTAGCATGTCAGAGTCTCAGCCTGCAGTGTGTAGGAGTCTACAAGCGCGCTCGGCTTACCCTACACCCGCGGAGCGTGTCAGAGTGTCAGCCTGCAGTGTGTAGGAGTCTACAGGCGCGCTTGACTTACCCTACACCAGCGGAGCGTGTCAGAGTCTCAGCCTGCAGAGTGTAGGAGTCTACAAGCGCGCTTGACTTACCCTACACCAGCGGAGCGTGTCACAGTCTCAGCCTGCAGTGTGTAGGAGTCTACAAGCCCGCTTGACTTACCCTACACCAGTGCAGCGTGTCAGAGTCTCAGCCTGCAGTGTGTAGGAGTCTACAAGCCCGCTTGGCTTACCCTACACCAGCGTAGCGTGTTAGAGTCTCAGCCTGCAGTGTGTAGGAGTCTACAAGCGCGCTTGACTTACCCTACACCAGTGCAGCGTGTCAGAGTCTCAGCCTGCAGAGTGTGTAGGAGTCTACAAGCGCGCTTGACTTACCCTACACCAGTGCAGCGTGTCAGAGTCTCAGCCTGCAGTGTGTAGGAGTCTACAAGCCCGCTTGACTTACCCTACACCAGTGCAGCGTGTCAGAGTCTCAGCCTGCAGTGTGTAGGAGTCTACAAGCGCGCTTGGCTTACCCTACACCAGCGCAGCGTGTCAGTGTCAGCCTGCAGAGTGTAGGAGTCTACAAGCGCGCTTGACTTACCCTACACCAGTGTAGCGTGTCAGAGTGTCAGCCTGCAGTGTGTAGGAGTCTACAAGCGCTTGACTTACCCTACACCAGTGTAGCGTGTCAGAGTCTCAGCCTGCAGTGTGTAGGAGTCTACAAGCGCGCTTGACTTACCCTACACCAGTGTAGCGTGTCAGAGTGTCAGCCTGCAGTGTGTAGGAGTCTACAGGCGCGCTTGACTTACCCTACACCAGTGTAGCGTGTCAGAGTCTCAGCCTGCAGTGTGTAGGAGTCTACAAGCGCTTGACTTACCCTACACCAGTGTAGCGTGTCAGAGTCTCAGCCTGCAGTGTGTAGGAGTCTACAGGCGCGCTTGACTTACCCTACACCAGTGCAGCGGGTCAGAGTCTCAGCCTGCAGTGTGTAGGAGTCTACAAGCGCGCTTGGCTTACCCTACACCAGTGTAGCGTGTCAGTGTCAGCCTGCAGTGTGTAGGAGTCTACAAGCGCGCTTGGCTTACCCTACACCAGTGTAGCGTGTCAGAGTCTCAGCCTGCAGTGTGTAGGAGTCTACAAGCGCGCTTGACTTACCCTACACCAGTGTAGCGTGTCAGTGTCAGCCTGCAGTGTGTAGGAGTCTACAAGCGCGCTTGACTTACCCTACACCAGCGCAGCGTGTCAGAGTCTCAGCCTGCAGTGTGTAGGAGTCTACAAGCGCGCTTGACTTACCCTACACCAGTGTAGCATGTCAGAGTGTCAGCCTGCAGTGTGTAGGAGTCTACAAGCGTGCTTGGCTTACCCTTCACCAGTGTAGCGTGTCAGTGTCAGCCTGCAGTGTGTAGGAGTCTACAAGCGCGCTTGGCTTACCCTACACCAGTGCAGCGTGTCAGAGTCTCAGCCTGCAGTGTGTAGGAGTCTACAAGCACGCTTGACTTACCCTACACCAGCGGAGCGTGTCAGAGTGTCAGCCTGCAGTGTGTAGGAGTCTACAAGCGCGCTTGGCTTACCCTACACCAGCGCAGCGAGGGAGCCCCTCTGTTCACGATCCACCCTTCCATCTCGCCCGCAGTGACAGCAGCAGCTCGTCCAGCGACGTGTCGCCCGCCCGCTCCGTTCCCTCGGCCGCCGTCGCCGCTCCTCCACCGCTCCCGGCGCTACCGCCGGCACTACCGCCGGTGTTGCCGGCGGCAACGACGGGTCCGCTGGGTTTGGGCGCCGGCGACGCGGCGGACGAACCACGGAAGAGCTTCGGGATCCGCGTGCACAACCTGCCGGTTCGCTCCACCGGTGAGGTGGAGCACGTTCGCTTGTCAATCGTCAGCTCGCCCTCGCTTGCTCGCTCACTCACCCTCGCTCGGCACTCGCTCACTCACCCTCGCTCACCCTCACTCACTCACCCTCGCTCACCCTCCCTTGTCAGCTCGCTCACCCTTCCTCCCTCACCCTCCCTCGCTCACCCTCACTCACCCTCGCTCACCCCTCACTCACCCTCACCGGTCCGCTCCACCGGTGAGGTGGAGCACGTTCGCTCGGCGCTCGCTCACTCACGCTCGCTTGATCACCCTCACTCGCACCCTCACTCGCTCACCCTCACTCACCCAGCACTCACTCACCCTCGCTCACTCTCGCTTACCCCTCACTCACTCACCCTCACTCACCCTCACTCACCCTCCCTTGTCAGCTCGCTCACCCTCGCTCACCCCTCACTCACCCTCACCCTCCCTCGCTCACCCCTCACTCACCCTCACTCACTCACACTCACCCCCACTCACCCTCACTCACCCTCGCTCACCACTCACTCACCCTCACTCACCACTCACCCTCCACTCACCCTCACTCACCCCTCACTCACCACTCACTCACCACTCACTCACACTCACCCTCGCTCACCACTCACTCACCCTCACTCACCACTCACTCACCCCTCACTCACCCTCCACTCACACTCACCCTCCACTCACCCTCACTCACCCCTCACTCATCAGCTCACTCACCCTTCCTCGCTCACTCACCTCTCACTCACCCTCACTCACTCCTCACTCCCCCCTCACTCACTCTCACTCACTCACTCGTCAGCTTGCTCACCCCCACTCACCCTCGCTCACTCACCCTCACTCACCACTCGTTCACCCTCGCTCACCCTCACTCACTCCTCACTCCCCCCTCACTCCCCTCTCACTCACTCTCACTCACCCTCACTCACCCCTCACCCTCACTCGTCAGCTTGCTCACCCTCGCTCACCCTCCCTCACCCTCCCTCTGCTCACCCATGCTCGCTCACCCCTCTGCTCACCCCTCTGCTCACCCCCCTACCCCCCTTAGACTCGAGCTTGAAGGACGGCCTCTTCCACGAGTTCAAGAAACACGGCAAGGTCACCTCGGTGCAGATCCACGGTGCCGGTGAGGAGCGCTCCGGCCTGGTGTTCTTCCGGCAGCCTGAAGACCGCGAGAAGGCACTCTGCGCCTCCAAGGGGAAGCTATTCTTCGGCATGCAGATCGACGTCACAGCCTGGGACGGGCCCGGTACGCGGTCGCTCGGTCGCTCGCTCAGTCAGTCGCTTGCTCGCTCACTCACTCGGTCACTCGCTCACTCGCTCACTCACTTATTCGGTCGCTCGCTCAGTCAGTCACTCGCTCGCTTGGTCACTCACTCAGTCACTCACTCAGTCACTCACTCAATGGCTCAGTCGTTCGCTCTGCGCCTCCAAGGGGAAGCTCTTCTTCGGCATGCAGATCGACGTCACGGCCTGGGACGGGCCCGGTACGCGGTCGCTCGGTCGCTCGCTCAGTCAGTCGCTCGCTCGCTCACTCGGTCACTCAGTCACTCACTCGCTCAGTCAGTCGCTCGCTCACTCAGTCAGTCGCTCACTCACTCGGTCACTCACTCAGTCGGTCACTCACTCACTCGGGCAGTCACTCGGTCACTCACTCGGTCAGTCACTCAGTCACTCACTCGGTCACTCACTCGGTCACTCGATCGGTCGCTCGCTCAGTCGGTCACTCACTCAGTTGGTCACTCACTCACTCGGTCAGTCACTCGGTCAGTCACTCGGTCAGTCACTCGGTCAGTCACTCGGTCGCTCACTCGGTCGCTCAGTCGCTCGGTCACTCACTTACTCGGTCACTCGCTCAGTCAGTCGCTCGCTCACTTCGCTCACTCGGTCACTCAGTCGGTCACTCACTCGCTCGGTCACTCAGTCAGTCGCTCAGTCAGTCGCTCACTCGCTCGCTTGGTCACTCACTCAGTCACTCACTCAATGGCTCAGTCGTTCACTCTGCGCCTCCAAGGGGAAGCTCTTCTTAGGCATGCAGATCGACGTCACAGCCTGGGACGGGCCCGGTACGCGGTCGATCGGTCGCTCGCTCAGTCAGTCGCTCGCTCGCTCACTCGGTCACTCAGTCGGTCACTTGCTCACTTACTCGGTCACTCGCTCAGTCGGTCGCTCGCTCACTTACTCGGTCACTCGCTCAGTCGGTCGCTCGCTCACTTACTCGGTCACTCACTCACTCGGTCACTCGCTCACTTACTCGGTCACTCGCTCAGTCGGTCGCTCGCTCGCTCACTCGGTCACTCACTCGGTCACTCGGTCACTTACTCGGTCACTCGCTCAGTCAGTCGCTCGCTCGCTCACTCGGTCACTCAGTCGGTCACTCGCTCACTTACTCGGTCACTCGCTCACTCGGTCACTCGCTCGCTCACTCGGTCACTCAGTCGGTCACTCGCTCACTTACTCGGTCACTCGCTCAGTCGGTCGCTCGCTCGCTCACTCGGTCACTCAGTCGGTCACTCGCTCACTTACTCGGTCACTCGCTCAGTCGGTCACTCGCTCACTTACTCGGTCACTCACTCACTCGGTCACTCGCTCACTTACTCGGTCACTCGCTCAGTCGGTCGCTCGCTCGCTCACTCGGTCACTCACTCGGTCACTCACTCGGTCACTCCCTCACTTACTCGGTCACTCACTCAGTCAGTCGCTCGCTCGCTCACTCGGTCACTCAGTCGGTCACTCGCTCACTTACTCGGTCACTCGCTCAGTCGGTCGCTCGCTCGCTCACTCGGTCACTCAGTCGGTCACTCGCTCAGTCACTCACTCACTCACTCGGTCAGTCACTCGGTCAGTCACTCGGCCAGTCACTCACTCGGTCACTCACTTGGTCGCTCACTCGGTCGCTCACTCAATGGCTCAGTCGTTCGCTCTGCGCCTCCAAGGGGAAGCTCTTCTTCGGCATGCAGATCGACGTCACGGCCTGGGACGGGCCCGGTACGCGGTCGATCGGTCGCTCGCTAAGTCAGTCGCTCGCTCGCTCACTCACTCGGTCACTCGGTCACTCAGTCGGTCACTCAGTCGGTCACTCACTCACTCGGTCACTTACTCGGTCACTCGCTCAGTCGCTCGCTCAGTCAGTCGCTCACTTACTCACTCGGTCACTCGCTCGGTCGCTCACTCGGTCACTCACTCGGTCACTCGATCGGTCGCTCGCTTGCTCGCTCAGTCGCTCGCTCGGTCGCTTGGTCACTCACTCACTCGGTCACTCACTTACTCGGTCACTCGCTCAGTCAGTCGCTCGCTCGCTCAGTCAGTCGCTCGCTCACTCACTCACTCACTCGCTCGCTCAGTCGCTCACTCGGTCACTCAGTCGGTCACTCACTCACTCGCTTGGTCACTCACTTACTCGGTCACTCGCTCAGTCAGTCGCTCACTCACTCACTCGCTCGGTCACTCACTTACTCGGTCGCTCGCTGAGTCAGTTGCTCACTCACTCGCTCAGTCACTCACTCACTCGGTCACTCACTCACTCAGTCACTCACTCGGTCGGTCACTTACTCACTCGGTCACTCACTCGGTCGCTCACTCGCTTGGTCACTCACTCACTCGCTTACTCACTCGCTCACTCGCTTGGTCACTCACTCGCTTGGTCACTCACTCACTCGGTTACTCACTCACTCACTCGCTTGGTCACTCACTCGCTCAGTCACTCACTCACTCACTCGGTTACTCACTCGCTCAGTCACTCACTCACTCGCTCACTCGCTCATCACACGGTCCGGGTACAATGTCACTGCCACGGTAACGATCGTACCCACGCGGTAACGGCCGTACCCACGGCAACGGCCGTACCCACGGTAACGACCCCCGCCGTTGCGTAGAGACGGAGAGCGAGAACGAGCTGCGTCCGCTGGACGACCGCATCGACGAGTTCCACCCCAAGGCGACGCGCACGCTGTTCATCGGCAACCTGGAGAAGAGCACCACCTACGACGACCTGTACTCCATCTTCCAGAGATTCGGGGAGATCGTGGTGAGGGAGCTGTCATCACCACCACAATCATCACCACCACCATCACCACAACAACCATCATCATCACAACAACCACCACCATCATCACAACAACCATCACCATCATCACAACAACCATCATCATCACCTACGACGACCTGTACTCCATCTTCCAGAGATTCGGGGAGATCGTGGTGAGGGAGCTGTCATCACCACCACAATCATCACCACCACCATCACCACAACAACCATCATCATCACAACAACCATCACTACCATCATCATCACAACAACCATCACTACCATCATCATCACAACAACCATCATCATCATCACCTACGACGACCTGTACTCCATCTTCCAGAGATTCGGGGAGATCGTGGTGAGGGAGCTGTCATCACCACCACAATCATCACCACCACCATCACCACAACAACCATCATCATCACAACAACCATCACCATCATCACAACAACCATCATCATCATCACCTACGACGACCTGTACTCCATCTTCCAGAGATTCGGGGAGATCGTGGGGAGGGAGCTGTCATCACCACCACAATCATCACCACCACCATCACCACAACAACCATCATCATCACAACAACCATCACTACCATCATCATCACAACAACCATCATCATCATCACCTACGACGACCTGTACTCCATCTTCCAGAGATTCGGGGAGATCGTGGTGAGGGAGCTGTCATCACCACCACAATCATCACCACCACCATCACCACAACAACCATCATCATCACAACAACCATCACCATCATCACAACAACCATCATCATCATCACCTACGACGACCTGTACTCCATCTTCCAGAGATTCGGGGAGATCGTGGTGAGGGAGCTGTCATCACCACCACAATCATCACCACCACCATCACCACAACAACCATCATCATCACAACAACCATCACCATCATCACAACAACCATCATCATCATCACCTACGACGACCTGTACTCCATCTTCCAGAGATTCGGGGAGATCGTGGTGAGGGAGCTGTCATCACCACCACAATCACCACAACAACCATCATCATCACAACAACCATCACCATCATCACAACAACCATCATCATCATCACCTACGACGACCTGTACTCCATCTTCCAGAGATTCGGGGAGATAGTGGTGAGGGAGCTGCCACCACCACAATCATCACCACTACAACCACCACCATCACAATCATCACAATCATCACAACCACCACAACCACCACCATCACAACAACCATCATCATCATCACCTACGACGACCTCTACTCCATCTTCCAGAGATTCGGGGAGATCATGGTGAGGGAGCCACCACCACCACAACAACCACTACAACCAATCATCACCACTACCACCACCATCACAACAACCACCATCATCACAACAACCACCATCATCACAACAACAACCATCATCATCATCACCTACAACGACCCCTACTCCATCTTCCAGAGATTTGGGGAGATAGTGGTGAGGGAGCCACCACCACCACAACCACCACCACAATCACCACAACCATCACAACAATCATCATCATCACCACCACTACGACTACCACCATCACAACAACCATCATCATCATCACCTACGACGACCTGTACTCCATCTTCCAGAGATTCGGGGAGATCGTGATGAGGGAACCACCACCACTACAATCATCACTACAACCACCACAACCACCACTACCACCATCACAACAACCACCATCACAACAACCATCATCATCACCACCACTACGACTACCACCATCACAACAACCATCATCATCATCATCACCTACGATGGCCTCTACTCCATCTTCCAGAGATTCGGGGAGATATTGGTGAGGGAGCCGCCACCACCACCACAACAACCGCCATCACTACCACAAGCGTCATAACCAACACAACCAATCATCATCACCACTACCACAACCATCACAACCACCACAACTCCGTGTCTCTAACCCCGTGTGTCTCTAACCGCGTGTCTCTCACCCCGTGTCTCTAACCGCGTGTCCTCTGACCCCGTGTGTCTCACCCCGTGTCTCCGTGTCTCTCACCCCGTGTCTCTAACCGCGTGTCCTCTGACCCCGTGTGTCTCACCCCGTGTCTCCGTGTCTCTAACCCCGTGTCTCTAACCGCGTGTCCTCTGACCCCGTGTGTCTCACCCCGTGTCTCCGTGTCTCTCACCCCGTGTCTCTAACCGTGTGTCCTCTGACCCCGTGTGTCTCACCCCGTGTCTCCGTGTCTCTCACCCCGTGTCTCTAACCGCGTGTCCTCTGACCCCTTGTGTCTCACCCCGTGTCTCCGTGTCTCTAACCCCGTGTCTCTAACCGCGTGTCCTCTGACCCCGTGTGTCTCACCCCGTGTCTCCGTGTCTCTCACCCCGTGTCTCTAACCGCGTGTCCTCTGACCCCGTGTGTCTCACCCCGTGTCTACCGTGTCTCTAACCCGTGTCTCTAACCGCGTGTCCTCTGACCCCGTGTGTCTCACCCCGTGTCTCCGTGTCTCTAACCCCGTGTCTCTAACCGCGTGTCCTCTGACCCCGTGTGTCTCACCCCGTGTCTCCGTGTCTCTAACCCCGTGTCTCTAACCGCGTGTCCTCTGACCCCGTGTGTCTCACCCCGTGTCTCCGTGTCTCTAACCCCGTGTCTCTAACCGCGTGTCCTCTGACCCCGTGTGTCTCACCCCGTGTCTCCGTGTCTCTCACCCCGTGTCTCTAACCGCGTGGTCCTCTGACCCCGTGTGTCTCACCCCGTGTCTCCGTGTCTCTAACCCCGTGTCTCTAACCCGCGTGTCCTCTGACCCCGTGTGTCTCACCCGTGTCTCCGTGTCTCTAACCCCGTGTCTCTAACCGCGTGTCCTCTGACCCCGTGTGTCTCACCCCGTGTCTCCGTGTCTCTAACCCCGTGTCTCTAACCCGCGTGTCCTCTGACCCCGTGTGTCTCACCCCGTGTCTCCGTGTCTCTAACCCCGTGTCTCTAACCGCGTGTCCTCTGACCCCGTGTGTCTCACCCCGTGTCTCCGTGTCTCTCACCCCGTGTCTCTAACCGCGTGTCCTCTGACCCCGTGTGTCTCACCCCGTGTCTCCGTGTCTCTCACCGCGTGTCTCTAACCGCGTGTCCTCTGACCCCGTGTGTCTCACCCCGTGTCTCCGTGTCTCTCACCCCGTGTCTCTAACCGCGTGTCCTCTGACCCCGTGTGTCTCACCCCGTGTCTCCGTGTCTCTAACCCCGTGTCTCTAACCGCGTGTCCTCTGACCCCGTGTGTCTCACCCCGTGTCTCCGTGTCTCTAACCCCGTGTCTCTAACCGCGTGTCCTCTGACCCCGTGTGTCTCACCCCGTGTCTCCGTGTCTCTAACCCCGTGTCTCTAACCGCGTGTCCTCTGACCCCGTGTGTCTCACCCCGTGTCTCCGTGTCTCTCACCCCGTGTCTCTAACCGCGTGTCCTCTGACCCCGTGTGTCTCACCCCGTGTGTCTCCCGTGTCTCTAACCCCGTGTTCTCTAACCGCTGTTCCTCTGACCCCGTGTGTCTCGACCCCGTGTCTCCGTGTCCTTCTCACCCCCGTGTCTCTAACCGCGTGTCCTCTGACCCCGTGTGTCTCACCCCGGGTCCTCCGTGTCTCTAACCCCGTGTCTCTAACCCCGTGTCTCGCACCCCGTGTCTCGCACCCCGTGTCTCGCACCCCGTGTCTCTCTCCCCGTGTCTCTCACCCCGTGTCTCTCTACCCCGTGTTCTCTCACCCCGTGTCTCTCTACCCCGTGTCTCTCTACCCCGTGTCTCTCTCCCCGTGTCTCTCACCCCGTGTCTCTCTACCCCGTGTCTCTCTACCCCGTGTCCTCTCACCCCGTGTCCTCCATGTCCTCTAACCCCCCCCGTGGTCTACTCTCCCCGTCGTGTCTACCCCGTGTCTCCGTGTCTCTAACCCCAGTGTCCTCTAACCGGCGTGTCCCTCTGACCCCTGGTGTCTCCCCCGTGTCTCCGTGTCCTCTAAACCCCGGTCTCTAACCGCGTGTCCTCTGACCCCGTGTGTCTCACCCCGTGTCTCCGTGTCTCTAACCCCGTGTCTCTAACCGCGTGTCCTCTGACCCCGTGTGTCTCACCCCGTGTCTCCGTGTCTCTCACCCCGTGTCTCTAACCGCGTGTCCTCTGACCCCGTGTGTCTCACCCCGTGTCTCTAACCGCGTGTCCTCTGACCCCGTGTGTCTCGGCGTTGCAGGACATAGACATCAAGAAGGTGAACGGTATCCCCCAGTACGCCTTCCTGCAGTTCTGCGACATCACGAGTGTGTGCAAGGCCATCAAGAAGATGGACGGCGAATACCTGAGCAACAATCGACTCAAGGTACTCAAGGGACTCAAGGGACTCAAGGGACTCGAGGTGTGCCGCGGGGTGGGATTCCGTGCGGAGGTCCCGCCTGCCTGCGCTGCGGACTGCAGGCGGTGCGGCGTTTCTGTGGTGCGGCCTGTGTGTGTGGGTGTGGGAGTGTGTGTGCGAGTGGGTGTGTGTGAGAGTGGGTGAGGTAGTGGGTGAGTGGGTGAGTGAGTGAATGTGTGTGTGTGTGTGAGTGTGTAAGCGAGTGAGCGTGTGTATGAGTGTGTGTGTGAGTGTGTAAGCAAGTGAGTGAGCGAGTGTGAGTGAGCGAGTGTGTAAGCGAGTGAGTGAGTGTGTGAGTGAGTGTGTGAGTGTGTGAGTGAGTGTGTCAGCTAGTGAGAGTGAGTGTGTGAGTGTGTGAGTGAGTGTGTCAGCTAGTGAGTGTGTGTAAGCGAGTGTGTGTGTGTGTGAGTGAGTGTGTGAGTGAGTGTGTGAGTGTGTGAGTGAGTGTGTCAGCTAGTTAGAATGAGTGTGTGTAAGCGAGTGAGTGAGTGAGTGGGTGAGTGAGTGGGTGAGGTAGTGGGTGAGTGGGTGAGGTAGTGGGTGAGTGAATGTGTGTGAGTGTGAGTGAATGAGTGAGCGATTGTGTGAGTGTATGAGTGTGTGTGTGAGTGAGTGTGTGAGTGTGTCAGCTAGTGAGTGTGTCAGCTAGTGAGTGTGTCAGCTAGTGAGTGTGTGCGTGAGTGTGTAAGCGAGTGAGTGTGTGTGTGAGTGAGTGAGTGGGTGAGTGAGTGGGTGAGGTAGTGGGTGAGTGGGTGAGGTAGTGGGTGAGTGAGTGAATGTGTGTGAGTGAATGAGTGAGCGATTGTGTGAGTGTATGAGTGTGTGTGTGAGCGAGTGTGAGTGTGTCAGCTAGTGAGTGTGTCAGCTAGTGAGTGTGTAGGCGAGTGAGTGTGTGTGTGGGTGAGTGAGTGGGTGAGGTAGTGGGTGAGTGGGTGAGGTAGTGGGTGAGTGAGTGAATGTGTGTGAGTGTGAGTGAATGAGTGAGCGATTGTGTGAGTGTATGAGTGTGTGTGTGAGTGTGTCAGCTAGTGAGTGTGTCAGCTAGTGAGTGTGTGCGTGAGTGTGTAAGCGAGTGAGTGTGTGTGAGTGAGTGAGTGGGTGAGTGAGTGGGTGAGGTAGTGGGTGAGTGGGTGAGGTAGTGGGTGAGTGAGTGAATGTGTGTGAGTGTGAGTGAATGAGTGAGCGATTGTGTGAGTGTATGAGTGTGTGTGTGAGTGAGTGTGTGAGTGTGTCAGCTAGTGAGTGTGTCAGCTAGTGAGTGTGTCAGCTAGTGAGTGTGTCAGCTAGTGAGTGTGTGCGTGAGTGTGTAAGCGAGTGAGTGTGTGTGTGAGTGAGTGAGTGGGTGAGTGAGTGGGTGAGGTAGTGGGTGAGTGGGTGAGGTAGTGGGTGAGTGAGTGAATGTGAGTGAATGAGTGAGCGATTGTGTGAGTGTATGAGTGTGTGTGTGAGTGAGTGTGTGAGTGTGTCAGCTAGTGAGTGTGTCAGCTAGTGAGTGTGTCAGCTAGTGAGTGTGTCAGCTAGTGAGTGTGTGCGTGAGTGTGTAAGCGAGTGAGTGTGTGTGAGTGAGTGAGTGGGTGAGTGAGTGGGTGAGGTAGTGGGTGAGTGGGTGAGGTAGTGGGTGAGTGAGTGAATGTGTGTGAGTGTGAGTGAATGAGTGAGCGATTGTGTGAGTGTATGAGTGTGTGTGTGAGTGAGTGTGAGTGTGTCAGCTAGTGAGTGTGTCAGCTAGTGAGTGTGTGCGTGAGTGTGTAAGCGAGTGAGTGTGTGTGTGAGTGAGTGAGTGGGTGAGTGAGTGGGTGAGGTAGTGGGTGAGTGGGTGAGGTAGTGGGTGAGTGAGTGAATGTGTGTGAGTGTGAGTGAATGAGTGAGCGATTGTGTGAGTGTATGAGTGTGTGTGTGAGTGTGTCAGCTAGTGAGTGTGTCAGCTAGTGAGTGTGTGCGTGAGTGTGTAAGCGAGTGAGTGTGTGTGTGAGTGAGTGAGTGGGTGAGTGAGTGGGTGAGGTAGTGGTGAGTGGGTGAGGTAGTGGGTGAGTGAGTGAATGTGTGTGAGTGTGAGTGAATGAGTGAGCGATTGTGTGAGTGTATGAGTGTGTGTGTGAGTGAGTGTGAGTGTGTCAGCTAGTGAGTGTGTCAGCTAGTGAGTGTGTGCGTGAGTGTGTAAGCGAGTGAGTGTGTGTGTGAGTGAGTGAGTGGGTGAGTGAGTGGGTGAGGTAGTGGGTGAGTGGGTGAGGTAGTGGGTGAGTGAGTGAATGTGTGTGAGTGTGAGTGAATGAGTGAGCGATTGTGTGAGTGTATGAGTGTGTGTGTGAGTGTGTCAGCTAGTGAGTGTGTCAGCTAGTGAGTGTGTGCGTGAGTGTGTAAGCGAGTGAGTGTGTGTGTGAGTGAGTGAGTGAGTGGGTGAGTGAGTGGGTGAGGTAGTGGGTGAGTGGGTGAGGTAGTGGGTGAGTGAATGAATGTGTGTGAGTGTGAGTGAATGAGTGAGCGATTGTGTGAGTGTATGAGTGTGTGTGTGAGTGAGTGTGTGTGAGTGTGTGTGTGAGTGTGTCAGCTAGTGAGTGTGTCAGCTAGTGAGTGTGTGCGTGAGTGTGTAAGCGAGTGAGTGTGTGTGAGTGAGTGGGTGAGTGGGTGAGTGAGTGGGTGAGGTAGTGGGTGAGTGGGTGAGGTGGTGGGTGAGTGAATGAATGTGTGTGAGTGTGAGTGAATGAGTGAGCGATTGTGTGAGTGTATGAGTGTGTGTGTGAGTGAGTGTGTGTGAGTGAGTGTGTGAGTGTGTCAGCTAGTGAGTGTGTCAGCTAGTGAGTGTGTAAGCGAGTGAGCGTGAGTGGCCGTGCTAGCCCACCCACCCACCCACCCCCCCTTGTGCGCACCACAGCGCTCGCCCCGACGTCCTGTGAACGTTACGTGTTGTGTGTGGTCTCAGCTGGGCTTCGGCAAGAGCATGCCAACGACATGCGTGTGGCTGGACGGACTCAACGCCAGCGTCACGGAGCAGTACCTCACGCGCCAGTTCTCACGCTTCGGACCGATACTCAAGGTACTGACCACGGGGGGGTGGTGGTGGTGGTGGGGGGGTGGTGGTGGGTGGGGGGTGGTGGTGGGGGGTGGGGGGTGGTGGTGTGGGGGGTGGTGGTGGGGGAGGGTGGGGGGGGAGGTGGTGGTGGTGGTGGGAGTGGTAGTACTACTACTACTCCCACCACCACCACTACTACTACTCCCACCACCACCACCACTACTCCTGTAGTAGTAGTGGTGGTGGTGGTGGTGGGAGTAGTAGTAGTGGTGGTGGTGGGAGTAGTGGTGGTGGTGGTGGTGTGGGGGGTGGTGTGGGGTGGTGTGGGGGGTGGGGGGTGGTGTGGGGGGTGGTGGTGTGGGGGGTTGTGGTGGTGGTGGTGTGGGGGGTGGTGGTGGTGTGGAGGGGGGTGTGTTAGTGGTGGTGTGGGGGGTGGTGGTGTGGGGGGTGGGAGTAGTGGTGGCGGTGGTGGTGGTTGGAGTAGTGTTGGTGGTGGTGGGATTAGTAGTTGTGGTGGGAGTAGTGGTGGTGGTGGTGGGATTAGTGGTGGTGGTG